TAAATGTTATATGGTTGATAACTATGGCTCAGCACGAATGGCGAGCACGAGAAAGCCGGTAATTTCTAACTCCAGTTCACTCGACTTTTCACGTCAACATGGGATAAACAGAAATTTCTGACTCACTTCTCCACTCAACGTTTTATGTCTAAAGCACAAGAACAAAGAGAAATTGGAATATGAAGTTTATGTCCTTGAACTGAAGTCCAATTTCAGTTTAATCCCTCACTTTTGCTATCCCTAAGAACTATAGCTACATAAATTATACTGATAATCGAAGTTTGATTTTGAAAGAGGAAGGTTTCGGGAAACCAATGCCAGCCAATGCCAACAAACAATTTATTCGAACCAATGTTTGTTGTTAATAATATTTTATTTATGTAGAAACTTCACGTACTTAGCTAGCTCTTGCGTAAAATATCGTAAAGTGCCAAAAGAAAAGTGCTAAAAAAAACGTTTTCTTTTCCTGTAATAAATAAAACATTGGTTCGAATAAATTGTTTATCGGATATATACCTAAAGGAGGTGTTTCATGTCTGTTTTTATTTTACATCGTATTTAAGAGAGAGGCACCGTGTCGTTAATGAGTCTCTCTAGCCAGATGCTAATTATAATGCTTAGCATTAAAATCCACACTCATTACCACTAGATTTAATATTCTAAGCCCACAGCGTAATTTCAACTCATTGGTGTGGAATAAACTTATTTTCCTATTGGAATTGAACTTATTTCAGTAAGGAAGGTACTTTTTTAATATTTAGGGAGGGCTGGTGCTTCAGACATTAAACATTTGAACTTTGTGGAGTGTGAAACTTTTTTATTTTGACCAAAACTGTTTCCTYGTTGAGTTAATAGAGGTACCAATGGGGTTAGTAGTGAAATGGAAATTGGCCAAAAATATTAGCTAACTGACGAATAACCTAAAATTATTAGTTACTGTATGTAACAGTTAACTGATTTCATTATTTTGGTTAATATTATGGCCAGCGCTCGTAAAATAACTGACATTCGGCCGGGAAAAAAGTAGTTAACTGATAATTAATTGGGTACCCCCATTGACACACTCGAATAATTTCTTACTGAAAGAAGGGAGGAGGGGGGCTACAGCCATTAATAAATTWAAAAAGTTCATTGTGAATCCCCCCCATCGCCTTTCTACCATAATTTAGTAAAAATACACAAGTGATTATTGAAAATCTCGCTCTGATTGATCGAGAAACTCACACACTACCACGCGATAATCACCTCCAGCGATAATCCAAAATGGCGGCCAGCCGCTTTGTTACCGGAAAAAAGGTGTCATTTAGCTTCTTTTTTTTTCTTCCTTTTTTTGAAAGGATCACCTGTTTATTATACTAAAACAATTATTTGCCTCAGCCTCAGTGAATATCGGGAAATGATATTCACTTCGCCTTCGGCGAATAATCGTTAAATAAAAGATCGGGGGATAACAAAATTGCGTTTTAACCTACCGTCGCTACAAAGTGATCAAARTAGGGTTCAGAAATATTATTTTTTCAGTAGGCTAGTGAAGAAATAGGAGAAAACTCTTAAAGCACAGGAAAAATACAGCCAAACGACTGGACGTCGAATTTCTTTTACGACTTTTTATGTTTTGTTTAGAAAAAAAAATGAAGTCTTTTGAAATATTATTGATATTAATTGCTTTCCTGTCAAAATTCCTGCCCACGTAAAGACGTCAGATGCCAAATAGTAAGATTAATTTTTAATCCTTAATTTATTTTTTCAATACAAAAAAACTGAACTCTTCTCTTCTCTTCTCTTCTC